AGACATAAAAAGTGTGGAAGTAAAAGGGCTACAAAACTGTCTTTTCGGTTTTTCGAATTTTTTTGGATTTTGACCCCAAAAAATAAAAAAAAGATTTTTTGAATATAACAGCCAAAAAATCCAAAAAGTTTTTTGAATTTCGAAACAAACCGGAATATATGTGATAGCCCCTACCGCCTTCTATCTACATACCAAATTTGAGATCAATACCTCTTTTTTTGGCCAAGTTATAGCGCAAAAACTGTTCAAAATTGATGACGTCAAATTTTCAAACTCAATTTTTAGCAATTCTAGACCTCGTAGCGCAAAACAAAGACCACCATTAGACTCCCCGTGACGAGCTGCATCGAATCGATACCCATTTCATGCAAAATATCAACTTTAAAATTTGATTTTTTTGACCTGACCTTGACCTGACCTCCACCAGAAAGTGACCTAAACCGTACCTGATGGTCTTATAAGCAACACCATTGAGTCGGAAATGAAAAGCTGGCCATAAAACACGCATCGCATAACCTTAGTAAAATTGGGCTCATGTGGTGACCCTTGGTGACCTTTGGTGACCTGACCTGTGACCTGACCTGGTATGACCAGTGACCTCTAATAGCAAAATATGTACTAGACAACTGACGCCTTATCGCTGATTTTCGACAAAATGCGTTTTACTCGGTGTTATAGCGCTTTCCCTAGAAGCCCCGTGAACGGTGAAACATTTTATCTTTGACCTGACCTGTGACGTCATCGGTGACCCCGAGGTCAATGAAATTTGGTTTCCCTCAACAAATTTGACAGGGCTATCGAACGCCGTTCGAATTTTCCGGATCCGTCCAGTAGTTTCGGAGATACGGGGGGGCAAAAAAGTGCTCCCCCACCGCGTGGAAGGTGGCTGGTAGGCCCACCGCCTGCCGGGTTAAGGGGTTGCATCAACCCCTTAAGCCCTCCTTCGCCGGGCGAGGGTTAAAGAAAATGAAATAAATTATTTCAATTACGTAGATGCTAAAGCTCTCAGCACACACGGTTTTAACCCGGCGGCCGCTGGGCCTCCGCGCCACCCGCCGGCCGCTGGGGGGGAGGGCATATAGTTGCCCCCCCTTTACTTCTGCGACGCTATCGTCGCAACTCGAAGAGATAGAGAAGCGAAACTTTGCACACACCTTCCTGAATACCTAGCCGAGGTTGTGTCCAAATTTGGTGTCGATCCCATTTGAAATGACGTCACAGTGACGTCATAAGTGAAATTATAGATTTGCGACTCTCATATTCCTCACGATACATCAGATATATGGAACCGAATATAAAGGGTCGATTATTGGTCAGAAACTAGATGGAAGTGTAGTTAGATGTTTTAGGATGACAGCAGGTGCTATCTAGTTCATTTACAGTGGAGTTTCATGCTCAGCGTCATCAGAAACGGTCCATATCGGAAAACGACAACACTTTATGACGTCACTGTGACGTCATCTTAGGTGCTACAACCACCAAACTTTCCTCAAACATTGCCTAGGTATTCATTTGAAGCTATGCCAAGTTTCACGTTCGTAGCTCATCAGGTTTCGGAGATATTTCACAAAACGTAAAGGGGGGCAACTTTATGCCCCCCCAGCGGCTCGTGGGTTAACCCGCGCGGGGCTGGGGGGGGTAAATTTTACCCCCCCCCCTCGCGAATTTTTGCGATATCTCAAAAACGGCGGCGCGCAGCGCCGCCAAACTTTCAGTACCTTTTCTTACATCAATTTGACACGTTCCCTGAAAATTTGAGCGAAATCCGTCGGAAATTTTTTGAGAAATTGACGTTTTAGTGACGTCATGTTCGCCATTTTCGCCTCAAAAACGGCAAAAGTTCAAACGCCGCTAACATCTTCATTTTTAAAGGAATTAAGACGTAACAAAAAAGGTTATACGTAATTTTACTTTGTCTATCAAATGGCTATCTCGGTTTTTTGAAAATTTTGGATTTTGGCCTAATTTTTTTCAAAAAACTGACTTTTTTGGGAAAATCATAATAAAATCCAAAATTTTGAGTCTATCGAAAAAACCGGAATATATGTCAGAGAAGTGGTCTATGTGCACCTACATACCAAGTTTTAGAAGAATCGGTTCAAAAATGTGGGAGTTATTCAAAATTTTATGACGTCACGACACACAAAATTTTTGAAAAATGACTTTTTTGGAAGTTCTAGACCTCGTACGGAACCAAAAATAGCACCATTCGATTCGCCGTGAAAAACTGCATCAGATAGACACCTTTTTAGGCCTTAACAACCAACTTCAAAATTTGACCTCACTTGACCTGACCTTGACCTGACGTCGACCTGAAATTCATCCAGAGGTGGTCCATATCACTTATTGAGTGTGCCTATTGAATTCTATGAGTAAAATGACCCATAAAACATGTGTCGCACATGCCCTTTTCTATATTTTGTTTTTTGGTGACCTGACCTGACCTGACCTGACTTTGACCTTGACCTCTGAATGATACTGTATGCAACGAATATTGTCTTGGTAGCCTAAGAACACGTTTTGGGCGATCAGTCTCAGTCCATGACTCCATTCTTCGGCAACTACGGTGCAAGGCCGATACTGTAGAAACTTGCAATTTGTACCCTTGACCTGACCTTGACCTTGACCTCAAACTTTAAATTAAGTACATGTTTTTAGTAGTTCGTGATGAGAGCTTTCGATTGGCGTTTGAATTTTCCAAATCGGACCATTAGTTCGGGAGATAACAGGGGGGGGGTAAAATTTACCCCCCCCCCCCCAGCCCCGCGCGTTCGGCTGGAGACCCCAGCCCCGCGCGGGTTAAAGGTAGTGTGCCAGCTTTCTTGGACCGTATGGAGTTAATGGCCCAGATAAGGAGAACCGGATTTTTAGAACTTATCCATACCTTCAAAACTCATGGAAACGTCTTAAATTCTTCAAATTTTGAGTACCCCAGTGCGAAATTCGCCCCGACGGGTTGTCGGTCGTACCCCAACCACATTTCACACCACTATGAACAATAAATGCACACACTGAAATCGCTATTACCGATATGCTCATCCAATCAAGTTTCGATAAACCCGTTCATCATCAGCTCCTGCGGTTTCGAACACGCCTGTTAGGTGGTGCGGTAGACCACGCCCAAAGCCAGGGCCCCGGTAACGTGAGGTAGCCGAGTCAGGGCAGCGTGCGCTGACCCAAGCCGGAGCCGCGCGTCCTCCCGGTGTCATGTGATAGCCCGGGGCTGCCCGCGGGGATGCGGTAGACCGCGCCCAAAGCTGCGGCCCCGGCTTGGGTCAGCGCACGCTGCCCCGACTCGGCTACCTCACGTTACCGGGGCCCTGGCTTTGGGCGCGGCTTCTGCTCATACTTTGTGGTGCGGTGGTGGTGCGTCGGGCTGCGCGCTCTGACTTCGGCCAAGAAAAATGCGTCAGCTGATCATTGTCATTTCTGCCACTTGCGTGTGGTGAAATGGGGTCATAACTTATAAGACGGCTTTTTCATAACAATTATTTTACATAAAATCATATTTCAAACCATAAAAAATGTTCGACAGCCAAATAAAAGAAACAATACCAATACGGGCTTACAGTTTAACCCGCGAGTTGCTGGGGGGGGGCGTTAAACGCCCCCACTTTTTTCGCCGGGCCATAGCATAAAAACGGCGCGCCGCAGGCGCGCCAAATTTTGGGTACCTGTAGGGAATTGATTGAAGATTATTGCGACAAAGTTTCAAAAAAATCGGTCGGAAATTTTTTGAGATATCGAGGTTTTAGTGACGTCATGATTTCTGAGTTTTCGACCAAAAACGGCAGACGTTCAAAAAATCATATAAAATCACAGAATAGACATACAGACATGCCGTAAACGCCATTAGACTGCCAATAGTATGAACAATCAAATGGCTATCTTCGATTATTGATTATCGTTCCGAATTTTCCAAAATCTTGAACTGAATCTCGGCAATTTCTCGTGACTCCTTCACGACCATGATACATGTATTTCTTAAATTTAACTTTTTGAGCCAAACACGTACACATATGATAAAATGAATGTCATCATCGTGTTCTACGCTCCAAATTACCCATAAAACATGTGTCACAGGCTGCGAATATCAGTTTTGATTTTCGGGGATATGTGCCTACCCGGTTGACCTGACCTTGACCCTGACCTATGCATGACTGACCCCTGCATGGAGCTGACACTCTTGTAGGCCTTATATGATGGATTGTGCACCGTTTTGACAGAGTTTATGACGAGAGCCGCCCATTGCGAAGTCCTGAAGTCCATGCTACTGAAAGCCCGATTTCAGGTGTTTGACCTGACCTTGACCCGACCTGTGACCTCAAAATTCAACTTTAAAGTATTCATTTGATGCGTCTCGTCGCGTTCTTTCGTTTGCCGCCTCGTGCGTTTCGCTGCGCCTATTGGTTCTCGAGTTATCGGCTGGGGGCGTTTAACGCCCCCCCCCCCAGCAAACGGTGGGTGGCGAAATACCCCAGCAACTGCCGGGTTAAGGCTCGACATTGTGTTGTCTACGATTAGACAGCTGATAACTCATTCCCGTACGTCGTATGGTCGTAACACTATAATGACCTTTGCTTATTGTCACAAGTGCGCCGCATTCGCGATTGTTGCCCGACGCCTGTTTGCAGGTGAGCCCACTACAGTTGTTATACATATCTAAAAACCGATTAACTTTTAGGCGAAAAAGGCACTATTCCAGGCCCATTTTTGATTTTTTTTTGCGAAATTTGGTAAAAACAGAAGCTTCTTATCCTAGGAAAAATAAAATGGGAAATCTTTCAAAGGTGGCACACTACCTTTAAATGCTTGATGTACCTAATATAAGCAAAATATAAGTCGATTTTATCGCCTTATAATTTTTCACTTATCACGTGGAATAAAGTGCTTGACATTTTAAAGTGCTTTCATTTGATGAAAACTTATTTTTCATGTGTATGTGGCACTAGACTGCCAACTCACCTCACGCAATTTCCAACGTGTCATCGAAATGCTGCCAATGTATTTATTTATTCTGTTCCCATGGATACGATGCCGTGTAGCGCCGCATGCGTCAGGCTATTCGCTCATCTCGCCGCATGCTGCCGCATCTCGCCGCAATAAGCCGTGTCGTAGGGTGCCGCACCGCGTCGCGACGTGCCGCACCGCACCGCACCGCAACCGCACCGCATCAAAAACGCACCCATGTGGGACAGGCAGGTGACTGCATACGGCAGCATTCGGTATACGGTTAATCAAAACAGCAAAAAGCATATAAGTGAAAAAAGCAAACATACATAGGGATCGAACTACCGGCAGCATATTGATATTAGCCCTTTTCACGACGGGCTATTTGGCGAATGCACGCTATTGGACCAAATCTGCACCAAATCTTTTTTACAGCAAATATCAACATATCATGATCTTATTTCAGCGTTGTCGATTATAATGTCCCATTAGTTGACAAAGCACCCATATAAGCAATTAGTATAACCCTAGCTGATGACTACTAAGAAGCACGCAGAACCTAATTTGACCAAATCTGCACCAAATGTGCATCAAATGAACACCAATTGTGTACCAGATGGCCGTCGTGACAACGGCTATTGGTACACCGGGCAGGACTGTTTGGCTTTTCGATTGGCACATGTATCATCAATCCCAGCTCGGTGTAGGCAGGCCGTGCTGGTAACTAGCCACAGTCGGCCAGCGCATCAGGCGCTCCACTCCTCCAGTCGCACGCGTCCTCCGGACCTGGCCTTGCTCCTCAGCTGGAGGTAGACCTCTCCTGTGAACAGAAAACATAACACGGAAAACACTCAGTTACAGCCAACTACGGACATGTCAGGCTTAGTTACAGCTAACTACGGAGATGTCAGGCTCAGTTACAGCTAACTACGGAGATGTTAGGTTCAGTTATACTATATCTAACTACGGAGATGTCAGGTTCAGTTACAGCTAACTATGGAGATGTCAGGCTCAGTTACAGCTAACCCGCGCCCTGGTGGGGTCTGTTTATAACGCGACCTGGTGTGGGGGGGGGGGCTATTTTTGCCTCCCCCTCGTACCTCCAAAACTACTGGACGGATCCACAAAATTCAAACGGCGCTCGAAAGGCCTGTCAAATTTGTCGAAGGAAACCAAATTACACTGACCTCGGCGTCACCGATGACGTCACAGGTCAGGTCAAAGATCAAATGTTTCACCGTTCACGGGTCTTCTAGGGAATGCGCTATAACACCGAGGAAAACGCATTTTGTAGAGAATCAGCGAAAGGGCGTCAGTTGCCTAGTACATATGTTGCTATTAGAGGTCTTTGACAATACCAGGTCAGGTCACAGGTCAGGTCACATGAACCCAACTTTAGGTACTAAGGTTGTGCGATGCATGTTTTATGGCCAATTTTTCATTTCCAACTCAATGGTGTTGGTTATAAGACTATCAGGTACGGCTTAGCTCACTTTCTGGTGAACGTCAGGTCAAGGTCAGGTAAAAAACGTCAAATTTTAAAGTTTATAGTTTTTCATAAAATGGGTATTGACTCGATGCAGCTCGTCACGGGGAGTCTAATGGTGGTCTTTGTTTTGCACTACGGGGTCTATGTAGAATTGCTAAAAATTGAATTTGAAAATTTGACGTCATCAATTTCGAACAGTTTTTTCGCTATAACTTCGCCAAAAAAGAAAGGTATCAATCTCACATTTGGTATGTGGATAGAAGGCGGTAAGGACTATCAGATATATTCCGGTTTTTGCTAAATCCAAAAAACTTTTTTGGATTTTTCGGCAAATATATTCGAAAAATCTATTTTTTTTTTGGTCAAAATCTAAAAATTTCAAAAATCCGAGATAGCAGTTTTGTAGCCCTGTATATTCTACAGCTTTTATGTCTTCATTATTTTTCTGTATTTGCAAAGCTATAGGCCTGACAGCTCTTCCCCCGAAACCCTTTTTGGATCGAAAACGGCAGAACATGACGTCACTCTGACGTCATTTCCGGCCAACCTATCATAGCCTTTGTAACATTTTTTTGGTCACAATGTGTAAAATTGATGTCTTGGAGAGTACTGAAAGTTTGGTGACGATCGACGCAGCGGTTTTGGAGATATATTGAAAAGTCTGGAGGGGGGCAAAAATAGCCCCCCCCCACCAGGGCGCGGGCTAACTACGGAGATGTCAGGCTAAGTTACAGCTAACTACGGAGATGTCAGGCTCAGGTACAGCTCGCATGTAAGATGTATTTACCATAACATCATCATGTTTGAAATCTAATACACCCTAAATGGTATGGTTTTGGACAAGTATTTTGGGATGGACATGACTTTGATATTCTGTGCGTTTTTTTTTTTAGTTTGAACACCCGATATATTTTCCTAAATAAGTGGACTGGACTGACAACTACAATAGACCTCCTATGGAAAAAAGTAAAGACGACGTCCAAGAAAAAAAAATCATCGAGCTTGAATAAGATTAGACATAAGTCCTAAAGGATTGTCAGATCTGGATGGTGGTAGCACCGTTCAACGTGTGGTTTCTTGAGAAAGGTGATGGTGTACAGTCTGTCTTAAAAGTATCGCGCAAAGTGACGGTGGATCCATCGAGCCCGACTGAGCAAGGCCTGCTAAATTTGGGTCACCGAAGCAATTGGCATCCTTGTCCATTCCCTAGGTCAATTGGTCGGTGACTTTTGAATTAAAACAGGCCCTTTCTCGGTCAGGCTTGATGGATCCACCGTCACTTTGCGCGGTACTTTTAAGACAGACTGTACAGCCCTCTGCAAACTGCGTGGTAGTTATTATGTTTTCGACAAAACCGATAATATCCCGCGCCCCGCTGGGCTATTCAGCCATACGCGCCCTGCTGGGGGGGGGACAGCTTCTGCCCCCCCCCTGTCCAACTTCCGAGCCGATGGTCGTAGAAAGACGGGGAAAACGGCAATCGAAAGCTCTCAACAAGGCGGATCGTAAGAGTCCATTTTTTGCTAAAGTAGGTCAGAGGTCAGGTCAAGGTCAGGTCAAGGGTACAAAATGCAAATTTCTACAGTATCGGCCTTGCACCGTAGTTGCCAAAGAATGGACTGAGACTGATTGCCCAAAACGTGTTCTTAGGCTACCAAGACAATATTTGTTGCATACAATATCATGCAAAGGTCAAGGTCAAGGTCAGGTCAGGTCACCAAAAACGAAATATAGAAAAAGGCATGTGCGACACATGTTTTATGGGTCATTTTATTCATAGAATTCAATAGGCACAGTCAATAAGTGATATGGACCACAACTGGATGAATTTCAGGACGAGGTCAGGTCAAGTCAGGGAAAGTGAGGTCAAATTTGAAGTTGGTTGTTAAGGCCCAAAAAGGTGTCTATATGTGTCGTGACGTCATTAAATTTTGAATAACTCCACATTTTTGAAACGATTCTTCTAAAAATTGGTATGTAGGTGCACATAGACCACTTCTCTGACATATACCTATTCCGTTTTTTCGATACATTCAAAATTTGGGATTTTATAATTATTTTCCAAAAAAGTCATTTTTTAATTTGGCCAAAATCCAAAATTTTCGAAAAACCAACACAGCCATTTGACAAAGTAAAATCACGTACCTACAACCTTTTTCTTACGTCTTGATTCCTTTAAAAATGAAGATGTTAGCGGCGTTTGAAATTTTGCCGTTTTTGAGGCGAAAATTGCGAACATGACGTCACTAAAACGTCATTTTCTCAAAAAAATTCCGACGGATGTCGCTCAAATTTTCAGGGAACGTGTCAATAAGGTACTGAAAGTTTGACCTCGCTGGCGTAACGCGTTTAGAAGTTATTGGCGAAAAACGGGAGGGGCAGATTCTGCCCCTCCCCCCCCCCCAGCGGGGCGCGGGATATCTCAAAGGCTATGTTATAAGTCGCTCAGAACTCATTGCACGTAGATGCACCATGCTTCACTCCTTAGATTAGGTGCATCACTGAACAACGTGTACGACTAGTTTGGCAGCAATATTCAAAAGTTTGTTTTCGGGACAAATATGAACTTTTGTATGTTGTTGTCAAACTGGATGGAAAATGCATACCATTATAAGCCCAATCTAAGGTGCGGAGTCTCGCACGTCTTGCTGCTACGATTTCCGAGTGACTGATAGCATAATATTCAAGTTATTCTCGGTTTTGTCGAAAAAAGAATACCTACCACGCAGTGTACCTATGTCCCGGGTCATCCGCGTGCCACGTGCAGACGAACATATGGAGTACACAAGTATCTTATGGACGCTGAAAGTCAAACACAGGGTGGCGCAGATGCCAGATTCGCTGGTCACACGTCGCAGAGCTCGACCACTGGCATATGGTATGCTGGGCACCGCAGGGTGCCTTATGCTTGTGCTAATGGCAAACACATGATATGAGGAGGCATCCTCCGATTCCGAAGAACATTGAGATAGGCAACCAAAGACGACAGGACGACACAACTGGACGACCGCTCTAAGGCGCTATGCGAGTGGGCGTGATGGGGTGATGGTGCTCGTGCTGTGCACGTGCAAGTCTCTTTAACCCTATTACTGGTGGGCTCTCTGGACTACGCACAGAAAAATATTAACACCGTTAGCGGTGTAATTGCACAGTACATATCTGAGCACTTGAGGAAAGTTACTTTAGTCCCTTCCCCGCTTAAATTACTCGCGCTTCTAAATGAACACCAGGAAGAAGGTAATAGAACACTGTTAGGAGGGTTGGGTGTTTTGCTACATGTAGTAAAACACCCAACCCTCCTAACAGTGTTCTATTACCTTCTTCCTGGTGTTCATTTAGAAGCGCGAGTAATTTAAGCGGGGAAGGGACTAAATTAAATTTCCTCAAGTGCTCAGATATGTACTGTGCAATTACACCGCTAACGGTGTCAATATTTTTCTGTGTGTACGTTAACTGGTGGAGGGGGCCGATTCGTCCCCCTTGATATCTCGAAAACTAAATGTCCGATCTCAATAAGACAAACGTCATTCGATTGCTCTCATCGTGAACTTTCAGAATGACTTTAAAAAGTCAAAAAAGTTCAAAATTGGGTGTCCTGGAAGCAAAAAAAAATTGAAAAAATCGCGTTTTACACCTCAGCACTAAAAATGCTATAACTTCTTTCTTTTTTGACCGATTTTCATGACACTCCAGAAAACCCTTCTTCATGAACTAGGCCTTCAAATATATATTCCGGTATTTTGGATATTTCAAAAATCATAGGCGGATTCAGGTAAGCTAACTTGGGATCATGTTTTGAGTTTTTGTCATCGCATATCATGTGTCTTATGACATGCGGCGTCATATATCATGTAAATTATGCAACGTGAGCACAAAATACACGTTTTCGTTAAGCATACGCGGATTCACGCACGCTAAGACGGGGGGCAGTACATTGATATTACCCCCTTTTCTCAGATACCTGGATCCGCCTATTCCAATATTTTCATTGTAAAATGACGTCACATAGTCTTAAGGCGCATACATATGACGGGCGGTGCCACTGGTCACCAGTATAAACCTAAGCAAGTCGCTGCTTAGCCGCAAATGTCGAAATAGTCAAATCTTGGCCAAAACTACCCCCGAGAAACTCGTTCTGGAGACGCCTCGGCGCAAGCTAGAAACTCAAAAATTTGACACAATGTGCCCATTAAATAGCAAGGAAAAGTCACCAAATTCCAAGCCCCTAGCTCGAGTCGTTTTCCGTTGAGAGGAAAAAACTACAGGTATGGGCCGATTCCCCCCCCCCCACCAGTAACAGGGTTAAAGTGCACGTCGTGCCAACCATACAGTCGGAAAACGTCACTCAGGCTAACCCCAAGAACCAAACTGGAACGGTGCACGCATAATGAATAAAACATATGAACATATGTTTCATATGCGTGTGCGTTAGGGTGTTTCACATTTTCAAAGTGCCATATTGCGAGTCATATCGATGTTCCCCTCAAATGTCATCTGCTCACAAGTTTCTGTGTAAAATTTCACTTCATTCTGATGATGTTTAGAGGTCGCACATTTCTGCGACTTTTCATCTCTGATTTTGTTTCGGGCCGTAACATGAGTAGTCTTCCTGCGAACTGATTTGGTTGAGAAAGCCAGGCAGTGGCGGCGGAATAGGGGGTGCAGGGGGTGCAGCTGCACCCCCATCGAAAAACATGGGGGTGCAAACATATCTTTTTTGCACCCCCAAAATCCATACAAGGGGCCCGTCGCACCATCCAATACATTTTCTCCTGAAAACCAGTGATCGGGAAACGAACACTGATGTGAAATCATCCGGGGTGTCTATTTATGGTCAGGAGCGCCCCATGCTAGTCGGGACCTCCACACCGGCTAGAAGTGTCCCGAGCCGCGTTTGGTGCTCCACACGGCATCTGATGGCCCCACGACGGCCTCAGAGGGCCCTTTTATGACGATCTCTGAGGGCTCCCACCTGAGGGCTTTGTCCCCTGGGGCCCTACAACGGCCACTAAGGGCCCTCGTGACGACCGCTGAGGGTCCCACAGACTCCAGGGGCCACGCGGGCCTCTGAGGGCCCCTATGACGGCCTCTGAGGGCCCTTACGATGATCTCTGTGGGCTCTCACGACGAACTCTGTCCCCTGGGGCCCTATAACGACCACTAAGGGCCCTCATGACGACCGCTGAGGGTCCCACAGGACTCCAGGGGCCCCACTGGCCCCTGAGGGTCTCTACGACGGTCTCTGAGGGCCCTCGTGACGGCCCTAGACCCAACTCAAGTCTGAGGGCCCATTTGGCTTCAGGCGGCCCAGCGACGGCCTCTGAGGGCCCCAACACAACCAGGCTGCGGGGGCTATGCTGGCATCTGAGGGCTCTGCAACGGTCTATTGAGGGCGACAGGGCCCTAACAACGATGGCCTGCGAGTCGTGGAACTCAACCGGAAGGCGCTGCCCAAGCGCACCAAGGAAGAATGTGCCCCCTTCTCTGTGTAACGAGTTTTGGTGACAAAAGTGTGCGACCCCTAAATATACTTAAATTTGGGTTTCAAGCGTATCAATCGATTCAGTTTTGCGGGTAGAGTTGGGGCAAAGTCGATATGGCTGAGTTTTGAACCAACATTATTTTACCATAGTGTAATGAAACACCCTAGTGTGCGTGCTAACTGAATGAAACAAAACATATGAATATCATTGAATATAACGATCATTTTATGATATCCAAACGTGCGTTCTGCGCGTGCAAATGTCACCTACCTGGAACGTAGAGAATGATGGTGCGGGCTTGGCGAGAGTCTGCATGTTGGCGCAGGTCGGCGGCTTTGAGTGCGTTCAGCACGTCCAGGCTGATATCAACGGAGGCGTGAACGGAGAGACACCACAGCTGGCGGCAGCGGACGGCCAGCCTGGAGCAGGGTGGAGCGGCGGGGACCGTCACACACACGCACGCACGCACGCACGCGCACACACACGCACACGCACGCGACCCTCAAGTAGATGAGGGTCGACACACCTACTCTTAAAATGGCATGACCCTAACCCTAATGATCTCTGACCTGTGACATGATTCCCGAGACCACTTTCGGCGGGAATCGGTGATTTGGCGAATGTCAGCTCACATTATCTTCGCATTTCCAGTCTTTTTTTTGTGATTGTAAACGCTCAAACATGTGAAATGATGTTGGTCCCATGCATTACGGTGGGTAATAGGGTTACGTAAAGGTCAGATCAAGGTCATTGACCTTTGATGACCTCTGTTCACTTTTTGGAGTTAAACATGTTTCTAGAGTCATTTTGAAGCTGATTTCGAAGCTACATCCATTTGAACATTGTTAATTCCTTCGTAACATGTAACGACGCCACCAGTGGTAGTTTACACCTCTTATAACCCTCGCCCGCACATGCCATTTTCCCGTCCTAGAACGCACATCGGGGGGGGGGGGGGTGCCACTCCCCCCCGTGCCATTTCGTTCCTGTTGGAGATAGAGCTTCGCAGGAAAAGACCAAAAATATTATTTGGGAAGAGACGAATCCAATGATACCCAGTTTTACCTTTGTATCGATATGATGAGTCGCCTATATCGATATGTTATGAGTCGCTTATATCGATATGTTGTGGGTCGCCTTTTGTATCGATATCAACGTGTGGGCCAATAAAGGCGTGACGTGTCACTTGCTGGCACGGCACGGAGCACGAAACATGGCGCAGCCTGTGGTGAACTTGCGGTTTTGATTTCTTATTTTTGGTGGGTTAAGCAACTTGAAGAAGTGTAAGAAAGCGAGAAGAAGCAAGATAACATCAAGCAGTGATGTCTGGATTTACCCCACCAGAACAGTTTGATTTTACTTCACCAGAGCATTGGCCTCTGTGGCGCGACCGCTTCAGACGATATCGCCAGGCGTCAAAGCTAAATCTCGATGAGGAGGAAACCCAGGTCAGTGCACTTGTTTATGCAATGGGGCCAGAGGCTGAACATATTATTTTGAGCATAGCAGCTTTCCCTCACAACAATTTTGAAGCCGCTGTGCGCTGTTTTGATGGGTACTTTACCCCAAAGAGAAATGTGATTGCTGAGAGGCATGCTTTTGAGATTAGAACACAAGGCGCTTCCGAGTCGAACGAAAGCTACATTAGAGCAGTGCATTGCCTTGCCGAACACTGCCAGTTTGCTGACAAAAATGAAAGGATCAGAGACCGTCTCATAGCAGGAATGAAAGATAAAAATATGCCCAAGCAGATTCAGTTACGAGCTCTGGATTCAGATGTGACTCTTGAAGTTGTGGTGCAGATGCTTCGTAATCATGAACTCGTGCATGACCCGAGTACCACAGACAATGTGAACAGGATTGAAAGCAGAGCGAGATACAAGCCAGCACCACATCAAGCGAGACGCCCAAGCCAGCCTGGACCAGCTGTTGGACGAAGCCAGAGCCAGCCAGATCCAGCCTCGTCCAGACCAAGATCAGGTCGTGGACGAGCAGGCAGAGGATCACTACTCTCCACAACATGCAGGTATTGTGGAAGGAGGAGGCATACCAGTCCGCAGCAATGTCCAGCCCTGGGGAAAACCTGTTTCAAGTGTGGTGGCAGGGACCACTTTGCAAATGTTTGCTCGGGTTCAAGCCATAGAGTTCAGAGTGTCCAATGTGCCCCAGATACTGAACATGATGAGGATCAGGAGGAAAGTTATTTTCTTGGGGTGGTTGAAGGGCACAAGAGCAAGGACTGGACAGTTTCTGTTGAGGTTGGTCAAAGTCAAGTCAGTTTCAAAGTGGACTCTGGTGCAGATGTTAACGTCATGTCTCTCCAGCAGTATGAGCAGATGGTGCAGAAGCCAGACCTGCTGCCCACCTCAAGACAGCTGACCAGTGTTGGTGGTGCCCTTGATGTCCTGGGAGTATTCAGTGCAACCATCAAGTACAAGCAGGTGAGCCTTGAGAATGAACATTTCTATGTTCTGGACACTTCTCAGAATCTGTTGTCACGCTCCACTGGAGAGAGGCTCGGAGTGATTGAATTCACTGGAGAGGTGAGACTGTCTCAGAATGTGTTTGGTCCAACTGGTTTGATGAACACATCACCAATCAAAATCAGGCTTGTTGATGATGCCGTACCCTCTGCTGTGCATACTGCTCGTAATGTGCCATTCCCACTGCTGAAGTCCGTGAAACAGGAACTGGAGAGAATGGAGGATGCTGGAATCATCAGGTCAGTCTCAGAACCCACTGACTGGTGTGCACCAATGGTGCCCGTTCCCAAGGGTGGTGGTTCAGTCCGCATCACGGTCGATTACAAGAACCTGAACAAGTGTGTGAAGAGAGAGATCCACCCTATCCCCACTGTGGAACAGTTGACAGCTGAACTTGCAGGTTCGAGCATCTACAGCAAGCTGGATGCCAGCTCGGGGTTCTACCAGCTCCCACTGGACAGGGAGTCGCAGCTACTGACCACTTGCCTCACCCCATTTGGCAGGAAGGCATTCCAGCGGCTTCCAATGGGGATAAACCTGGCGCCTGAATGTTTTCAGAAAAAGATGCAGGAAATGCTGGCTGGTCTCGATGGTGTACTGATATACATGGATGACATTGTTGTGTACGGTGACAGTGTGACGCACGACGAGCGTCTGCAGGCAGTTCTCCAGCGGATCGAGTCATCCGGGCTGAAGCTGAACAAAGCGAAGTGCGAGTTCAAGAAGGACAGCATCATCTTCTTGGGCCAGAAGATCAGCAGCAGAGGAGTGGAACCGGATCCTGCCAAGCTCGCAGCAGTGAGGGAACTGCAGGCGCCACAGAACGAGCAGGAACTGAGGAGCCTACTTGGAACCGTCAACTATCTGGGTAAGTTTGTGCCCCAGATTCAAAGCAAGCTGAAGCCCCTAAACGACTTGTTAAAAAAGGATGTAGCATGGGTGTGGTCGCATGTTCAGCAAAAGGCTCTTGACGAAGTAAAGCAGATGCTAACTGGTGCTCCTGTGTTAGCTTTCTATGACCCAACCAGAGAGACCATTGTGAGTGCTGATGCGAGCAGCTATGGCATCGGTGGCTGTGTGTTGCAGCGACAACCCGACTCCCAGCTGAGACCCGTTGCGTTTTGTAGCAGGACGCTGACCCCATGCGAGCAACGATATGCTCAAATTGAAAAAGAGTTATTGGCTGCTGTCTGGACGTGTGAACGAATGCACATGCTACTGTCTGGTCTACCACAGTTTCGACTTGAGTTAGATCATAAACCGTTGATTCCGTTGATCAACTCAAAGAGCCTAGTCGACACACCTGTTCGATGCCAGAGACTTTTGATGCGTTTGACAAGGTACAATCCAGTCGCCACCTATGTGCCTGGAAAGCAGCATGTTGTACCAGATTACCTATCCCGGCATCCCTGCAAAGAGACCGACAATCTCGCCACTGTCTTGCAGAATGACGTCAGCGATTACGTGTCCGGCGTGATCGGCAGCCTGCCCGTGAGTGATCACCGCCTGGAGGAGATTCGGGTGCTGCAGGAGAGGGATGATGACATCTGTCGTGTCACCCAGCAGACTCTTCATGGCTGGATGGAGGGTCCGAGGGCCCTGCAGGACTACTTCAGCGTCCGGCATGACCTGAGTGTGGTGCACCTGTCGTCAGGCCCTCTGCTCCTGTACCGCAACCGTCTCGTCATCCCTTCGAGTATCAGGTCAGAGATTTTGAATAAGCTGCACAATGATGGCCACTTTGGTCTATCCAAATGCCGACAACGAGCTGACCAATCAGTCTGGTGGCCCGGGATCTCTGAGGATCTGAAGAGATATGTGAGCCAGTGTCAGTTTTGTCAGATAAACAGTCCACAACAGCATCGTGAGACACTCATACCGACTCCCGTCCCAGTGTCTGTGTGGAGTCACATTGCCTGTGACATCTGTCATCACAGCGGTCACGATTACCTGATTACAGTGGATGTGCTCAGCAGATACCTTGAGATTCAACGTCTTCCCCGTCTCACGAGTTCGGCGGTAGTAGAACGACTCAAAACGCTATTCGCCCGCCATGGAATCCCCGACATGGTAACGTCCGATGGTGGAACTCAGTTCACGTCACATGTGTTCCAGAACCTGTCCACCGAGTACGGTTTCTGGCATCGGATAACCGACCCTCACACGCCGTCTTCGAACGGCGCCGCTGAGCGCGCCGTAAGGACGGCTAGGACTCTACACTCGACGCCGCGAGGAGGAGAGATGGTGAGAGGAAGGAGCTTCAACGAAGGAGCTTCAACAAGCATCACGGAGCTCGCGACTTGCCGCCGTTGCGGCCTGGGGATGTAGTGCGGGTGCGAACAAGGATCGACCCGGACTGGCGTGAGCGAGTGACAGTGCGTGAGCGGATCGGGCGACGAAGTTATGTGGTAGATAACAATCGTCATACAGTGAGGCGCAATCGAGGCGCCCTGCGCCTGTCACCGGGGATCGAGCCTCCCACGGGCTCGTCGGACCTCCCGGTGCCCTTGTCGGTGCGGCCGTCGCCGGGCGTGCCGGAATCTGTGCGGCCGTCGCCGGGCGTGCCTGTTGGTGTTTCAGTGCGGCCGAGCCCGACTGTCTCGATGCCGCGGCCGGCTATCTCTCCGCCGGGTCAGACGCCGGAGCCCTGTCCTTCCGCAGCGGCGAGTCCGAGCAGGACCCGCAGCGGCCGGCTGTACGGGTCGCGTTCGTGATCCCCTGTACGAGTAGGTCGTAGTCTGTTGTACCGTTTTGCTTTTTTTGGGGGGAGATGTATCGATATGATGAGTCGCCTATATCGATAAGTTATGAGTCGCTTATATCGATATGTTGTGGGTCGCCTTTTGTATCGATATCAACGTGTGGGCCAATAAAGGCGTGACGTGTCACTTGCTGGCACGGCACTGAGCACGAAACAACCTTCTTAGGTCAGTCATTGACCTTCCAGGTCAGGTCAAACTAAAAGATGTTGCTGACTGCTGTTTTGGGTCACCGTTGAATATCAAGTGCGCTGCTCATCATATACCGATGACGACGCCGTTTTGTGGTGCCAAGCCAGCTAGAACCTCTTTGTCACACTACCCGACCAGGTTTTTATTGCTAAGGTCATTTCAGGTCAAGTTAGGTCAAGGTCAATGATATGTGTTTGTATGTCTGTGTGGGTCTGTGTGTATACTGATGTGTGCACCGATTGTTTATGTGTCCATATTAGGTACATGAGATCATGTTGCAAAGTTTCCCTACCGCACTACCGGCATGCCGGTAAATTTTCACTACCGCAGGTTTTTTCGTGGTATCTGGCATGTCTTGCCGGTAGCATGCCGGTATTTTTGATTTTGCACAAAAATAGAAAATATTAGCATATGGTTTAAACTTTGGGCACTAAGAGGCTATCAAATTATAATTACAGCAATATTAGCCACTGCAAAATACATTTTGTGGTAGAAGTGACATTGCTAAGGGTAGGGATAACACATGGACCTCAGCGATTCACAGGTTTCGTTATAATTAGGATTGTCAAGAATCTACTGTGGTCAATAAATGGAAGAATATTTATTCATGCTGCAAAAGCTCGATCAATCAGTAAGTCTAATGGTATGTAATAGGTAAAATACAACAAAATAAATAAATGTTCATGACAACGTTCCCTAGAGGAAAAGGCAGAATCAAAACACCACAAAACACATTGTTTGGAAACTGGCCTTGAGTCCTGAGATGTGGTCTGAGATACTCTACAAAGTATTTGACACTGAAAATCCAGCTGAAAAGGCAGGTATTAGGTAGCCCTGAGCCTGACTTTGGTCCCAAAAATGAAATGTAAATCAAATAAACTGGCATTTTGTCTCATCTTTACAAGAAAACACAATATGCATACAAAATAGGTAAACAAAGTGGCGCAGAATAACAGGGGAACCAACTCCAAGGATTGACTTTTTAGATCTTCTCTCCCCTGATGGAAGGATGTAAGATGATGACGTAATATTTATTCGTATGCCTTTTTGGTTTAATTCCTGAAAGGGAATGCATTTTCTTGTAGTGAACTAAATTTACAATGTTGATTACATCAGAATTCAATATCGTTTTGGATCATTCACATCAACAAATCATTTATGAGGCAGTCTGCTACAGTTCAGAAACTTTTTTTTTGCAGCAATTTAATCAACTGGTTAAAAGTCTCTGTTATTATGGCGCATCTGTTTCGAAATCTTTGATAGTTGATAACCTTGTGTTTGGAGAGGAAGATGCTTCGAGAAAGCGGGTAATCGTTTTTTTGCATATTATTTGGTGACTGTTCTCAGGACAAGTGAGTTTTTCACATTTTCAAATGCTTCGTATCTTATTCATGAGCCAGCAAGCCATGGCGAAAAGGAAAAAAGGTGTTGATCTCGCTTCCTCAGGCAGATGGCCGAATCTGTAGGTACTTTTTATGTTGTGGCCATCTGGATTTCAAAATTTGATTTTGGTTGGTAGGTTCCTGCAACATTTTAGGAGAATGTGGAATAGTAGAACACCTCTGAAATGTTAATGTGATTACTGCTAACTTGAACTGTCCAGTCATCAGAAACAATTCAGTAATTTAAGTTCTTTTTGTCATTGCTTTTTTGATGCTTTTTTCTTACTGCTTTTTGTAGGCAATACCTCTTTGATTACACGTGATATTTTAACAGTTATAGACTGGAACTGAGTTTCAAAATTGTGGGTATTTGTGGGGCCAACTGAGCCAAAATCATCCTGTTCGTAGTTAGGTTGGACATTGGGTGGCTGCTGGGTGGGAACTGGGATGGGTACTAAAATTGCCAAAGTGTGGCATCTCTTGTAGGGGTAAGCTAGAATCAACATTGCAGGTTTTTTTTAGTATGCCGGTAATTTGGTGGTGTTTTTGCTTGGGCCGTGGTAGCATGCCGGTATCCCAGAAAATTTTTGTGGGGCGGGGCGGTGCCGGTAGCAGCCTTTGGGGGAAATTTTGCAACTCTAAATTCATGAAATGAGAAGGTTTTACCAACAATACAGTCAAAGAAACTTTGCAATAAGTAAATTCAGCTTGCCTAAAACGCAATTATTTTAGATGGCCTAGGCTGACCTTGACCTTGACCTTGACATCTGTACATCGTCGAACAACATGTTCCATGATAGGTGGGAGGTGAGACTGGCAAAAAAAAGCCAAAATATAGGTGCCAAAAGCCCACAAGGCCCACAGCCAACGCAAGATGTTGAGAATTGGTCATTTGGGTCACGACATGACCTGAACAACAAGTTCACATATCTCCGAAACCAAGAACCACAGAAACTTGAAATTTTCAGTGGACATCAATAAGGATAGAGGAGCAGCTATACGAAATATCAGCCTTCTAGCTATAAAAATGTTGAGTGCAGAGCAGAAAAACTCCTGGGGGTGGGGGTGGCAGCCCCCCCCCCCATGTGCGGGAGAGGGATTAATAGCCGGCAGGATCCCTACTGGTTGACCTGACCTGACCTGACCTGAACTGGCCTAAATGCAGGAAATCACCAACTGATCCAAATAAACCCGCGCATGACGGGGGGCTCTAAAGAGCCTCCCTCCCCCGGGAGCCAAGGTGCAGTGTGCCAGTGCGTCACGACCAATCAGAGGGGAGACAGCGCCCAGCCTGCGCCAGCCTCTAAGCAGGGCTCAGAAGGCCTTAACATTATCAGTTAATGACAAGTGCATGTTTTGAACTAATAAACCATATTGATGAAAATTAGGTAGGGGTCTCAAACTACCTATGCCAAAGTTTGGCTAAAATCAATCCCATAGGAAACGAAAAATAGCCGAAAAGGACTGTGACAGAGGGTCTGAAATGCATAGTAGTAGACAAATGCTACCTAACGGTCCTCAGGTGGGTGGCAAACCGGTTAATTACGGTATTAGCTAGGTGCCCACTATTCCGTCGTAAGTGTCTGCTGACTGACCTGCTGACCGCTGCTGCTGTGAAGGCCGTCTCTGCCGGCCGCTGGCGGTCCCCCAGTTTAAGGATCCCCAGCCCCTGGCAGCCGCTGAGACTGTCCAGCACGGCGTCAGGGACGCCGCCGGACAGGGTGAGGTCGTCTAATTTGTGCAGTCTGGAGAGGGGCTCCAGGCTGCCACCCATTAGACCAGCACATTCTGGAAAGCACGCACATGTATAAACAGGCACACAGACATAGTTAACACGCGCAGTGGAAGGGTTGCGAGTACTACGCCCAGTGGAAGGGGGGGGGGCGGATGTCGCCCCCCCTAAGATCTCAGCTCCCACTGGAGCTAGAAAGACGAAATTTGGAGGGTAGGTGTGGGCCATGGGGAACTCTGTTGTGTGTGAATTTCATGACCCTAGGTCAATATCTTGAAGGTCAAATGAGGTCAAATGTGGTCAAATCTGCCATATGAGCGACTTTTTTGCGTTTACACGCCGCTAACTCAAAAAGTTACCGGCCGATTTTCTTTTTTCTTTCACTATACGAAAGACCAAACATTTGCGAGTATGTATGGTGAATTTCTATTTAATCCAACAATAAATATGGCAGTTAGAAGCCTGACAAGGGTAAGATGTCGCCGGCTGAAGCGGGATCGGCCGACGCGGGAAACGCGGCAATCACAATTTTGTGTTTACACACTCATAACTCAAGTTGTTACCGGCCGATTTTCAAAATTCTTTGACCATATGATTGCCTGTACATTTCTCAGTCTTCTCACCAAATTTGACGCGAATCTAATCTAATCAGCAGTAAGGAGCGCGATGTAAAGACGGAACCGTCCCGCCCCGGCACAGTCTACAATTCAGGCGGCGCGTAACGGCTAGCGCCGGCCGCCGCGCCGCCGCGCCGCGGCGGCGGCAGGATGTTTGACTTTACACCGCTATTACTAGAAAAGTTGGGAACCGATTTTCTTATTTCTTGCACGAGAAGATCCGCAATTCAATTCTGGACAGGTAGCCAAAATTTCACATTAATATTATGTTTGCGGCGCGAGTTATTGGCGAAAAACAGGAGGGGTGGGCGAAATCCGCCCCCCCCCCTTCCACTGCGCGTGTTAAGACATCTGCACGGACTGCAGTGAGGTCACCCACGCCAGTGTCCTGGTTCCAACACCACGATACGATATCGAGCATATATGGCTGCAAAAGCAATTAGCGCGTTCGGAGATAAATTGGACCAAACAAATCGCGAAATAACACTTCATCTCTCATATTTTAATATTATTTCGTGTAGAACACCTTGATCAGTGGCCCATTTTATATTTTCAATATCATCCGTTAAATATTAAACATACATTTCTGGACCTCCCGTTGTGGTGTGACAAAGTAGGCGTTAGCATCTCGTTATTGAAGTGTTTCCTTCTCATTATTACATCATAATGACGAGATCTGATCTGCCAGTCAGTGGCCCGTTTGATGGTCGTCCCCGTATTGTCGGCACTAGCGTGAGGTTCGCCGGCCGAGCCGGAGGAGCGGTCGCAGCCCCCGGCTGTCGGCTCTGGCTCACCAACCGTTGGGCCACGTTTGGGGGATGACGGTTGGACTGCCATCAGCCGTTCGGCCGCCGTCAAAGGAGTTCTCGAGGCCACGTTTGGGGTGATAGTGACGTGTCGAGCTTCAGTTCGTTCGTCCACAGTTTGCACAATAGAAATTCAAGTGGAAATTTCCCTCATTTTAAACGCGGAAGACTCGACTATCAAACGAGCAACATAACAGCATACCGTTCAGCATATAACTGTAACGTAGCTACCGGGCAGCAGACGTACCGACCATCCGGATCGTGCGCAGACCCGAGATGCGTGAGATCGAATCCAGCGCCCTGCCGGTGACGTCGGGAGAATCTGCAACAACACAGATCACATTCGACGTTGTCAGTCATCTGGCTTCGAGTGGTTCCGAGCTTCGGGGCCTCGTCATTTCAGTAAAACACAAATACACCTATCAGTGTGATGGATGGACATTCATTTGGTGTTTTAAAAACAGTAATTACTGATGCATCAGCATTCAAAGAAGTGGGACTCTGTAGGTAGGTAAGAGTAAGACTGATACGGTGCAATATTCGATGTTGTTCAGCTGCAAAAGCTCACTCCACTAGCCACCTCCTCTATCATGGCGTTACTCGGCGCCCCCATTGCCGGCCGACCTGACGCCTTTGAGGCGTCGGCTCTGCGCCACCTCACCGAGCAGGTGCAGCACGCGGACATTTCGCTTCAGGTCAGCCACCAGGGCGACTGTGTCGTCGCCAACTCCCTCCAGAGAGACGTGCAGGCCAGACCAGAACCCCGTGGGCCACCGCGTGCCCGTCACTGCCGGACCTGTGGGACGGAGCTGTGTCAGCCGACTGTACATCAACAGAGCCGTGTACAGCTGCAGCAGTAAACGGTATGGAGTAACATGTCACTAATTCGGTTGTGTAGGTATATGTACCTTATTACTCATTAGTTTGTGTCTATGTGGTCTCCGTGCCGGCGTATTGGCGGCTGGTGCGTGGGTGTCTGTGGACATACCTTTCACATTGAGGACTTTGAGGTCGTCTGGCAGTTTGTCCATCATGTGCGCCAGGTCGGCAGCAGCCAGCGACATCCGCCCAGCAGTGCACTGGAGGTCTGCGAGGCACAGCCCGACACACACGCCTGTTACAAGCTACACAATGGCAGGCCACTGGACCGGGATGGTGAACGGCTGCAGCGTGCGTGAGGCGCGCGTACACTGTGAATGGGGCAACGCTCGTCGCTCGATGCACTATTCAAAAACTATCTCGTTTGCTGCAAAATTTTGGATTTCGGCCATTAAAAAACTAATATTTTGGGGAAATACGTATAGAATAATAAATTGAGCTTATCGAAAAATGCGGAAAATATGACACAGATATAATTGCTTCTTATCTAAATTCTAATTTTAGCAAGAATCAGTTTAAAAATTTGGTGTTTTTTTAATGATGTTGACGTCACGCCACCCCAACAATTGGTGGCGTGTTTGGTGGTATGCTCTCACCAGTGTAGAAGCCGCTCAGTCCGGGCACGGTGACACGGACCCTGGCCGCCAGCCAGACGTGCGCCACCAGCAGCGGGAACAGGCCAGTGACGTAGTCGACCAGCTCGTGGCGGGTGGCGCCGACTCGGCGTCGAGCCTCCTCACATACGTCACCGAACCGGAGCAGCTACAACAGCAGCGGAACACAGAGGGAGGTGGGCGGGACGGCACCGTGCTCACTGCAGTCAAGGCCTCACTGCAGTCTCATGTGTACAGTCCAGCTAGAAAGTTTCGCGCATCCGTGCGCCGGATCCATCAAGTCCAACCATAGGAAGGCTCCAACCGAAAAAAGAAAGGCTCTTAAAGGGACTATCCCACATCTAACATGGGGTTTGAGTTGAGATAGCCAAGTTTGCGGCGAGGTTCAGAAACCACTATCTATCTAGGTTGCAGCCCCCGCGGCCTCTTGGTGTTGAAGAAATTCGTTCCCTTCGTTTGAAAATGGGCCTTGTACAAGGCCCTATCTTCAACATGGAGCGACCGTTAGTGTGACGTCACCTCGTTTAGTCATTCTGATTTAAATGGGTTTGTTCATTGAAAAATCGCTTAAAACTTGGTCTGAACTTTGTTGTGGTGCCTACAGAGTAAAAAGAATCAGCTTTATGACAGTAATGTGGCCTGGGGAAGGAGGTAATTTTGGGCTGTGACGTCACATATTTGAAAGTTTGTGTTTGGAATATGGGAAGCCTAAGATGTTTAATGAAAAATAAATGCCAGAACCGTGTTCCTGGTCATCCAATCTATAAAGTCGGGCACAATTTAACTGGTTTTAACAACACTTTAGAAGGTGGGATAGTCCCTTTAACCCGCGCACCGACGGGGGTCTGCGCCAACTTCGCACCGACGGGGGGGGCGGATGACCGCCCCCCCCCCTGAGATCTCGAGAACGAAGCAAGATAGCGACAAGCGGTAAACGGCATCGGATACGCACGGCCAAGATCTACAATTTTTACTCAGGTCATTTTCAGGTCAGGTCAAAGATGACGTCACAGGGGTCGAAAAAGTCAAAATGGCGGCGCTAGATATGGAGAGAGTATTTCTCGAATAACTTTCGAATTAGTCAAGATAGGAACAAACTAAGGGCATCATCGTGATCCTCTCGTCTATCCGCATCGAATGATATATATATGTTGCGGGCCAAGTGCGAAGGCTAGTCCATTCGCGAATGGCCTAGTCCAAGTGCGATAACGCACTTGGACTAGGCCGTTTGCGAATGGACTAGTCCATGTGCGTTATTGCAGTTGGCCTAGGCCGTTTGCGAATGGACGGGCGTTTATGCTCCCAGTCCAAGTGCGAAGTCAGGCCAAGTGCGAAACATCCAGCAAAATGACGTCAACTTGGCAAGTCAACTTGGCATGTGCAAAGTCTCGTGTGAAATGATGCGTGCAAAGTATTGGTAACTCAACCGGAAAATAACTTTTCTGATAATAATATATATATATATATATATATATATATATATATATATATATATATATATATATATATATATATATATATATATTTATATATATATATATATATATATATATATATATATATATATATATATATATATATATATATATATATATATTAGGGTGGCACTAATACGGGGCTAAAATTTCGTTTTGAGAATTTTCAACGGGACGGGCAGCCAATCTGTTCTACCACCCGAGAAAACGTTGTGTGTAAAATATTTTTGGAAAATATGTTTATTTAGAGGTAGCTCAACCAGGTCAAAGTTCGCATTTTTGTGAAAAACACAACTTTGCCGAAATTTTAATTTCCACGTGTATTTCTGATGTTCACAATGACATTGGACGTCGCCAAGACTTAATTGAAACGCTTCAGCACCTAAAGCTCAGATATGTAGGTACACATGAGGTATATAATTCTTTTGAAGGTATGCATAACTTACTGCATAACTCCATGAAAAGAGAAAGCGGTATCATCCGTAATCAGCCAACAGTTGTACACATCATTCGTCGGCTAGTCTTGCCTACTTAGAAGTTACGATCGCCTTGCGTATGTCAGAATGCTTGCGTCTTGCTCCTCGACGATCTACTGCTACATGAGGAGCTGCTGTTAGTCTTTATCCTTCGTGGGGGTCAGATCGATTTCCTGGCCATCAACAAAATGCCTCCTCGTTCCGCGAAGTCGTAGAGGCGTGAAGAGACCTCATGTAGCGCATGGCGGCGTTGTAGATTGGCTTGACCTTCTTAAGAATCGGATCCTTCAAGAGGAAGTCGGTGTCCATATACCGAGGATGCTGAAGAAGCTTGTGAAGCCAGTTGTGATATGACGAAGTCTGCCGTGGACTTGCTAGAGACTGAAGCTATAGTAGATTCAACCATGGGCTCGACGGGGGGGGGGAGGGGTACTCGGCCCTCTCCTTCTCTCGTAACGATGCAGCCATCTCACGTTTAGTGGCAGCGATCGTAATCTCCTCCATTAGAAGTTGAGGGCGACCAGCCTCTCATTTAGATACCAGAGGTGACGGCTGAAGGCAATGGCTGTCGCCTTGGACACCAATTCGAACACCAATTCGTCCAATTCGTACTCCAGGAGGGACTTGAGGAAGTCGAGATCTTGCGCTGGTGCAGACGCCAGAAGCGGTGCATTGAATCGAGCCGAAAACTACGTTGTTACCACAAAGGTCACGATTCGCTGGCGGCTGGAGGCTCTTCTTCTTAGTCGTAGTGAGCCGGGATTGTGCTCGAAAGCGGTAAAGCTTCGTAGCGTAAATGGCATTGGTCAACCAGCACACATGGAGCATATCGGGGCGAGCGATCTTCATACCTCGTTTCGGAGCACCGCCGAGGACAGTGATGGCCAGCTCCAGCATCTCACGGTTGTCGGGTGAGTGCTGGCGGTCAAGGATATGTGACCGAACTGTGCAAGAGCATCACGCGGGTTGTGGAGGTGGGACATGTCACAGTTTTTGAAGGTTTATGGCTTCGTAGTTCGTTCCATCTAGACGCCCACTTTTTATGGAAGCGCTTAAACAAAACAACGTCCGGGCCGCTGGACGGGCCGAGGCAGGCTGAAAATGTCTTTATAGAACAAACTCGTAAATGTTGTGGCAAGTCAGGTGGAGCAAGTCCTGCTCGAGCCGCTGCTCGATGATCGTGCAGGCTCCTGCATTGAGGCCGGTGTTCGATGCACTTGTGTCAAAACTGAGCGCTTTCACTCAATCCTTCAACTCTCACTCATCGAGAAATTCTAGAACAGCGTTTGCTGCGGCCTGTCAGTTTGAGCCTGGCTAGCGAAAAATGTTCTGAAATGGCTAAGCAAAACACAACTTATCTTTTTCACGTGCACATCTTCTCCCTGACATCACGAAGACACGGAGACCTGCCCTGTGGCCGTACACTGGCAGTGTCCCCCTGCGCATCAGTGACCGGGGATACATGAGCAGAGTAAATGCGTATTACAAACGGTTCACAATACTCAGCGAAGAAAAACCATTCCTGATACGCATTTATTTCCTCATGTAACCACGGTAAGTGCTAGCAGTCTCGTGACCCTTCCCAACCATCGTAATACGAGAGAAGAGCTGAAGTTGCACGCCTGGCAGCGAGCTACCGTCACCGAACAAAATAAGCTGAACTACGCTGAACGGCCATTGGTTGAATCATGCATTGCGTCACAGCGCGTTTGCGGCGAGAAACACTGTGGTTATGAAACAAGTAGGAAGGCATCTATCATTCATTTAAACGTGTTACAGCTCAAATATGACAATGCTTGGAAGGGCGCGACGCACATCTGAATCCCCGTTCACAATAAACGTTTTGTCAATATGTACCAAGTATGACCCCATTGAGCTACCTCTAAATATAAATATTTTTTGATAAAATTTCATACAGATCATTTTTTCGTGAGGTAGAACAATATGGCTACCCGTCCCGGTTGAAATTAAAAAAGTCGAAATTAAGTGCCACCCTAATATATATATATATATATATATATATATATATATATATATATATATATATATATATATATATATATATATATATATATATATATATATATATATATATATATATATTCGTATACTTCGGCAGAATGTCTTCATTTTTGCATGTGATGTTGAAAGCCAGAGCGTATTTGCATTTGATATATATATTTTTGATATATATATTTTTTTGCAACATCACATGCAAAAATATATATATATATATATATATATATATATATATATATATATGTTGACCTCGAAAGGTCAAGGTCAAAGGTTTACCTCAGGTCACGTGACCTCGAGGTCATCATGTATATCATTCGATGCGTCTTGACGAGCTGAGCACAATGAGACCATCCACACGTCTGTATCTTGTTCCTGTACGGAGTTATTGGCCAAAAACCTTTGGTGACCTTTGATGACGTCACATGACCTCACAGCTGCCCAACAGCAAAACAGACCTCAAGGTAGTGAAGGTTGATCGTATATGAAGTCATGTATGGTATATGGGGCCATTCCGACCTGTTTTAGTGGTAAAAACAGGGAGTTGATTTTTCCCCCATTGACTTATAATGGGGAGGTCGCGAAATTGACCTGACCTTAGGTCACCGATATCAAAATTCCGAGATATACAAATTGTAGCTACTAATGACCTAATAATATCCTGCGACTTTCAAGGGCCTCCGACATCTACTGTAGCTCTGGCACGGTGACAAAGTTGCAAAAAAGTGACTTGAGGTTGGGTCATTCAAAGTGACCTGGTGACCTGACCTTAAAAGGTAGGAAGTTCAAACTTGCACACCATGTGTAAAATTGATGAGGTTATAGTCATACTAAATTTCGCGGCGCTACGCGCCGCGGTTTTCCTGCTCTTCGCGAAAAACCTTAGGGGGGGGCGGATATCCGCCCCCCCCGTCGGTGCGAGGGTTAAAACCGGGAATCACCAAACCATTTGAGTCCCAATGGAAAACAACAGAATAATCGGTTCGGTGATACTCAAATCAAACAGCCTTCCTTCGGTCGGGCTTGATGAATACACCGCACAAGAGCGCTGTATTTTCAAGAGAGACTGTACGCGCATACTAGAAGCTATCTCTACTTGCCGTACGTTACAATTATCAAATATTGCTGGCCGCAATCTAACTATAGTCTGGCAAACCTAAGAAAGAACGGAGTTAAAGCACCTGAATCACTTAGCACGTGTTCTAATCACTTGAAATGTATGGTTCGGAGAAATTCGTGTGAAAAGCTGTAAGAGAAAATATTCCCTCACGGTATAAATGCACATGCATCAATGGCCGGTGCACTTTAAATCCGTTCTTTCTTAGGTTTGCCAGACTAAGTGGCTGGCTGGCAGGTATTTGGATGCAAGTACATAAAAAACGCAACACTCATAGCAGCCTCACTGTTGTGGTCGATGACGTCAGGAGCAGAATGTAGTTGAAATACATATGGTAAAAGCTAATCAGATCAATGTCATCATCAGACCAGAAATGTGGTGTTTGTTTTACGCGAGCTGACGCGCTGTGTAGGGGCGCTTCAGCGGAACCAAATCAGCTGCCTTCGTCGACCCTAAAATAAATTTTGGGAGGTAGCGCACCTTAACAGCTCGGAGTTTAACCCACGCCCTGATGGGGGGGGGGGGGCATTTTGGCCCCCCTGTGGTTTTTCAGTTCAGTGTGATCAAATCAGTTGAAAATTACATGGGTGCTCAAAATATTGAATCATCTGCTCAAAAAGTGAACATCGTGCTGCATCTTCTTGGCCCGGATGTACAAGAAATTGTTGATACGCTGCCTGATATAGCTGATGAAACCGACCCATACGTCAAACTGAGAGCACAATTGGAAAAGCATTTCAAGCCTCAAGTGAACACGGTGGTGGAGCGTCATGTCTTCAACATGATGCAATAAGAAGGAGGTAAGGTAGAGGAGTATGTAGCTAAACTGAAAACGCAAGCAAGAAAATGCAATTTTGAAGCTTCGGAAATGGGCAATCTGATCAGGGACAACCTCTTGGCAACGTGCCCATCCTCCAAGGTCAAGGAGTCAATGCTCAAAGAAAGAGTGCTGACCCTATCGCGTGCCATTATGATATGGTCAACTGACGCAACAGTGAATGAACAAGTAAGAAGAATGGGAAAAAGTGCAGAAGAAGAAGCAGTGAACAAGGTGAAGTGGCAGAACCAAGAAAGAAATGAATCACTGAAGGAAAGAAGGAAACCATGGAATGTAAATGAAGAAAGAGCCATGAAGATAAGAGGACATGGAAAATGCAAATTGTCAAGGGAAGACATGGAAAAATGAAAACAATGAAAGGAGACATCGCTTCAGGTGTGGGAAAACGAACCACCTGATCAAGTTCTGCAGGGCACCACCCCACGTCAGATGCCACACCTGTGGGAAACAAGGACATCTGAAAGCAGCGTGCAGAAATGGAAAAACGCTGAATGTGGAAAAAGAAGCCCAAGATGATGAAGTTGAAAAAAAAAATCTGTGTGCGTACCAAAGCACATCAAAAGGGAAGGCAGGAATCAAAGTGAAAATGGCTGTCAACGAGAAGAACGTCACGTTCATTGTGGACACAGGCTGTCCGGTAACCATGATTCCAGAAGCGCAGGCTGAAGGCCTCAACATGAAGAAAACCAGATGTCAGCTCACATCGTACACAGGACATGAAATACCTGTCAGAAGAATGACAGCACTGAGAAAAAAAATTATTCCCCAGGGGTGTTTTACGGGTGTCACACACCATTGGAGGTGTCATCGAACACCCAGATTGGTGTTGAAAAATGCTGTTTAGGGAATCATTAAGGTGTACAACACCACGATGACACCCTTTCAAGTGTTCGTTCGCATGCGAGCGTTTAGATATACCTTAATGGGATTCAGCATGACACCTTAATAGGTGTCCGACACCCACACCCATCCGGGTATCAAACACTCTAAGGTATCAAACACCCTAAAAGGTGTCAAAAATGTTCTTTTAAAAGCATCTGACACCCTTATGATGCCTTCACAGGTGTTGCCATTTATTGAAGCGGAATGTTAAGAGTGTCCGACACTGCTAGAGGTGTCACATTGACACTTGCAAAAGGATCTGACACCAAAAACAGCGTGAAAAAAAATGAGGAAAAATATTCCCATGGGGTGTCTCACGGGTGTCGGACATCATTGCAGTGTCATATATAACGCCCAGATTGGTGTCAAAAATGTTGTTTTGGGAATCTATACAACACCACGATGACAACCTTCAAGTGCAACGCGCTTTTAAACACACCATGATGGGATTCAGAAAGACACATTAATGGGTGTCCTACACCAACATCCATTCGGGTGTCAAACACCCTAAACCATCAACACTTCAAAAGGTGTAAACAAAAATGTTCCTTAAAAGGGATCTGATACCCTTGTGATACCTTCACGTGTGTTGTCATTTGTTGAGGAACATTCCAGCATGAGTCATGAAATGTTTGAAAGCTGTCGTGTATTCGAACCTAAATCATCACATAAATTGTTCTGACGTCACTTGTGTTAGGAACCAGGGATGCGGTGTCTAACGGATTTTCAGTGACTCGCACTCCCGCTCTGTCTTCCAAAATGGACTCCTATTCCGGCCAGAACTGCCAACTCCATCAGACTCCGACTCTGACTCCGTAGCACTGCTAGAAACCACAGCAGGTCCAGTGGTTTGAATCATTACCCAATCAGCAAGCTTCATTGTGTGACGTCATTTGTGTGCTAGTCACGGCGTCAACCATGCGAAGATCAAAAAGCGCCACCTTGCAGGAAAGCCGTTAGATTTCAGTTGGCGGCGGCGTGCCACGTGGTGCGTGTGCGGTGTGAGTGATGGCAGGGCTTTTTTTGAATTTATGTGGATAAAGTGGCGCCGAACGTTGTTCGCAGTGTACTTCTTCAAGTGATTGTGCGTTAATGATAATGTTTAGCTTTTATTTGTAGCTTGCTCCGTGTTTATTCAAATGACGAGGCGGGCGGTACTCGGTGAAATTTGAAGTCTGGAGTGAGGATGACAACACAGCATTGCACCATGGAAACGAAAGCAAGTGAACTGCGGAATAACATCTGGTTGGAGATAATCGACGGTTAATTATCATTGCTGAAATGCGAGCAACTTCTCACTGTGAATGGACCCGATGTGTTTCGGTGAGTTTTCATTGGATTTCTCCGTAAATATAGGGCCCATATTTTTTGTACTTTATAGTTTGTTGCTGTATACAAGATAGGAATGCCATTGTATGCGATATGCCTGTTTGAACCAATAAATGTAAGAATGTGTCGACACCTTTTTTGGCATCCAATGGACACTCTCGTAACACCTTTAAGGGTGTGTACCAAACTGCACCTCGCTGGGGTGTCAGACGGGTGTCACTTTTGACACCAATACAGGTGTCATTGGGAATCAAACACCGGGTGTCTGACACCCTTTTGGGTGTGCACCCAAAAGGGTATCAGACACCTAAAAGGGTGTCAGACACCCGGTGTTTCATTCCCAATGACACCTGTATTGGTGTCAAAAGTGACACCCGTCTGACACCCCAGCGAGGTGCAGTTTGGTACACACCCTTAAAGGTGTTCCAGGGGAATAATTTTTTTTCTCAGTGAGTGGTGAACGTGCAGTATGAAGGTCAAATGAGGAAACTGCCAGGGGTGTTGCAGGTAAATTGGGAATTTTCAGACCTAATTTCAACATGCTATTAATACGGTGAATGAAAACACAGAAAGTTGAAAGTTCGCACGTGTATTGTGTCATGTACGCACAGCCTTGTCACTCGATGTGATCGCCGTCGGCGTCCCGCACCCTCTCGAGACGGCGCCGGAAAGCGGAGCACGCGCGCCGGGCCTCGTCCTTGTCAATGGTGCTGACTGCCTTCCTGATGGCCTTCTTCAGGTCAGAAACGTTGGCAGGAGTGGTCGAGTTGGACTTTTGTTCTACCACGCCCCACATCCAAAAGTCGCATGGATTCAAGTCAGGCGAGTTGGAGGGCCATATGTCCTTGAGTACATATAGGGGGATCCTCTGGCTCAGGAAATCTTGCACCCTCTGGGAAGCATGTGCTGGGGCGGAGTCTTGCACCAGCATGACTTTGCTCAAGTCATAGTATTTCATCATCCAGGGGATGAGAGACTCCTTCAGGATGGTCAAATACGCGTCAGTGTCGATCATCACACCAGCAGGCATGAAATGGGGCGGCATTATGCGGCCATCACTTGCGACGGCCCCGAACACCATTACTGATGCCGGATTTTTTCCTTTCATCACGGGAGCCACTTCATCAGGGCTGTAGGCGATAGCCCGCGAGTTCCTGTTGCGAATCACGCAGCAGATGTGCTATATGGGTGTCTGTCACGTGACACAGCTCGCCCTGTTTAAAATGGTCTTGCAGAGCATGTCGGGCTAAAAAAGAGAGAATACAGATGGACTTGAGTCACAGAAACGTTCTTTCGTTAACTTATGATTAATCGATTTTAACTTTAATTCTGAACAAAGTAAAACAGACAGAATCCTAATATTGAAGAATGACAATATAATTGGCGACCGTGACAGGACAATCGACATGAAAAAGTACTTAGAATCAGCAACACGATACGGATTGCAAGGTGAAGACGCGCTGAAGTTTGCAGCTGAGCGTATGGACAAGGATGTGGAGCGAGAGGAGAGAAGATTGGAGCGCGATAAAGAGCGAGAAAAGGAAAGAGAAAAACGCGAAGAGGAAAGAGAAGAACGCGTAAAGGAAAGAGAGGAACGCGTAAAGGAAAGAGAGGAACGAGAAAAACAAAGAGAAGAACGAGAAAAGGAACGGAAACACGAGTTAGAAAAGTTGCAATATCAAAATGAGACACAGAGCACATCAAGACAAGCCGCAGACCCTGTGCTGACTCCAAAACTGCCTCCATTTGTTGAAGGCCGTGATGAAATGGACAGTTATCTCCTGAGATTTGAGAGGTTTGCTCGGGCCGCTGGATGGGAAGAGGAGCAGTGGGCGGTCTCACTGAGCGCCTTGTTAACCGGCAAGGCGCTAGAATGTTTATTATCGACTGGACGCTGAAGAGTCTTCCGACTATGAACATCTGAAACATGTACTGCTAAGGCGTTACGGACTGACAGCAGAGGGCTATCGAAAGAAGCTGAGGGAGTCGAGGCCTGAACAAGATGAGACACCTGTGCAGTTCGTAGTCCGACTACAAGCATATCTTAAGCGATGGATCGAAATGACAGAGACTAACGACTCGAGAGACGGCTTGAAGGCGCTGATAATTCGAGAACAGTTCATGAACACGTGTACTCCCGAGCTCCGCCTGTTCTTGAAGGAAAGGGATCTGGCCTCTCTTGAAGATCTTACCGAAACTGCTCAACAATATTTGGAAGCAAGAGGCCAGACCTTATTTGATCTGAATAGGAAGCCTCAGTGGAGCAGGGACGCGAGACCAAGGAGTTTCAGAGTGTCGGGACAGGCGGAAACAGTTCGATCCGCATCTGCACTACAAGTAAGTGCAAAAACCCTGAAATGCGCTTTTTGTGAGCAGCAGCACGCCACAGAAGTATGCCAAGATGTTTTAATACTCAGTGTCGAAGAGCGACGTAAGCGACTGCTAGCATCCGGCTGTTGTTTTCTGTGCCTGCGTCCAAAGCACATCGCTAGCACTTGCGAGAGTAAGAAAACGTGCACTGCATGCCAGCGGAAACATCATGACCTACTCTGCTTTGACAACGAATCGGAAGCTTCGAAGAGACCCGCACAAGTCCTCGCAGCTCGGTCGCAAGTGCAAAACAAAACTGGCGTCGCCCTGCAGACTGCTCGCGTTATGGCTGTCGGGGCAGCGGGCTTGAAGTGCGCTAGAATGCTTGTGGATTCCGGCTCTAACCAGTCAGTTATTACAAAACGGCTGGCTACGAAACTGGAGTGCAAAACTGTCGGAGAGCAAGACACTCAGATAGTGACATTCGGAGGTACTGAGAAACATCACAAGTCAATGAAGAAGGTGTGTGTCACGCTGAGGAAGATGGGTAGCATGTCCAGCGGCCTTACACTGAGTTTGGTCCAGATTGACACCATCTGTGGCCCGGTGAACACAAGCCTCACAGTGAATCAAGAAGAGCTGGATCACTTGCAAGATCTTGAGCTCGCTGATCCCCCAGAAGAGTGGAAAGACGGACAGGAAGTCGACATACTGCTGGGAATGGATTTTTACCAGGACGTCATGACCGGACGTGTACGACACAGCATGTCCGGTCCGATCGCGATGGAGTCCATTTTTGGGTGGATTCTGGGCGGCCGAGTCAATTCAACTGAAGAAGAAAGCAAACAGACTCTCTTCGTTCGAACGACGAATGCCAGTGAAGATCTTGAGCGGATCTGGGACCTGGATTCGATCGGGATCAAGAGCCCTCCATTCGCTAGTGCACGCGAGGAAAAACAGAATCTGGAAAATGCAGCGGTGTCACACTTCGAGAACACGTGCACAAGACTCGACGATGGACGATACGAAGTGCGCTGGCCAAAGAAAGAAAACTTTGACAGTCTCCCTGAAGATGACAAACTAGCTCGAGTAAGCCTCGAGCGTTGCGAGAAGGCTTTAGAGTCTAGAGGACGAAGGCAGGAATATGAGCAAGCTCTGATGCAGTATATATGTTGCAGGCACTTTAGAAAAGCAGTCATTTTGTAAAATGCCTAGGCATTTTGCAAAATGCCTGATTTTCCAGGCTTTTTGCAAAAAGCCTAGGCATTTTACAAAATGACTGACTCTCCAGTCATTTTGCAACAGGGCCTCGTCTAAGGAATTTTCACTGGGGGGGCAGAGACTGAAGGAGCCAAACCTAGGGTACCCCCAAATCCTGTTTTCTCACCGGATTTAGGCCACTTGTTTTTCGGCACAGCCCTGAGAACATGATTTTTTTAACAAAAGAAAACAAAACAAAAACCAAAATAGGCGATCTGCGCCATACCGTAACCCTCGCCCGTATGCATAGCAGAAGGGTGCGGGGGGGGGGGGAGGGTCGAACGGACTCCTCTCGGTTTTTCGCAAATAAGTCGCGCAAAAAGCGACCGATCGCGACACAACTTTGAGTACCCTCGCGTTTATCAATTTCACACCAACTCTGAAACTTTCATGACCCTGACCCAAATGACCTTTGACCTGTGAGTTACTTTTCGAGACCAGGTTTATCCGGAATCGCAATTCGGCCTACGTCGGCTCGCATTAGCCGAGCGTTTGCAGTCTTTTCGTGGTTTCAAGCGTTTAAACATGGAATATGATGTTGCTCCCATGCATAAGGGTGGGTGTCAAGGTCTCCGAAAGGTCAGGTCAGTTCATTGACCTTTGATGACCTCGGTTCACTTTTTCGAGTTTAACACGCTTTTAGACCAGTGTTTGGAGCTGATTTGAATTTAGCAGCCATTTGAACAATTACGAAGAAGTTTTGGTGCCTTCGCAACATGTTACGAAGCTGTCAGAGGTGTTTGCCACCTACTACGAATACCCGGCAAAATCCTTACTGGTTGATCTGACCTGATTTGACCCGACCTGGCCTTAATGCATGGAGACATTATCTATTATCATAACTAACATGGTATTCGTGATCAGCACCCCGAAAAAACCATAACAGCCACCCTTTACGACGTTCTAACAGGTCCCGATTTCCCCGACTTTTGGGTCATTGACCTGACCTGGAAGGTCAACTGATGACTAAGGATCTTGAAATTGGGTATCATCGTTTTCCTCTCGTCACGGGCAACACGGTCGTTTGTTCCGCGAAGTTCTAGCTCGATCAGGGGCGAAACGGCAAGGGGGTCCAACGGACCCCCCCCCCCCCTATACGTTCGCGACGGGAAAAACGCCAATACCGGCGAGGGCTAACATTAGTGTGCTACCCCTTCACATTGACCCACCAGACAGTGATAAACATAGGTACTATCCGTGTTGGGCGTTTCATTGAGTTTGTATGTTTGTGGGGGGGGGGAGGCAAACACGAGCTGGGTTGCTGGCCAGCTGCCATTTTATGATTTGCTACTCGGCGCTCTCTGGGCCCTGTTTCACGGCACGCCCCTTCACTTCGCTTCAGCGCGCTTCACTGAAGCGGTGAGGTAAACGGAACCTCCGATGCTAAGGTATGACCCATGGGTGTAGTTTTCCAAAAATCATTGGGGGTGCTCAATAGCTTTCAGAAAGGCATTCCACAGTTTTTGTAGTTTTTTAGCTGTTCTTTTTAACTGTAGCCATCAGGCATCATTGATGCAAGAAATGATGTTAAATCGGCTCGAGAGCTTGTTTTAATAGCGCCACTGTAAAACAATTTTGGCTCACCCAATGCATTAACCCGCGCGGGGCTGGGGTTTCCACTCTCCAGCCGAACGCGCGGGGCTGGGGGGATAAATTTTACCCCCCTGTTATCTCCCGAACTATTGGTCCGATTTGGAAAATTCAAACGCCAATCGAAAGATCTCATCACGAATAACTAAAAACATGCACTTAATTTAAAGTTTGAGGTCAAGGTCAAGGTCAGGTCAAGGGTACAAATTGCAAGTTTCTACAGTATCAGCCTTGCACCGTAGTTGCCGAAGAATGGAGTCATGGACTGAGACTGATTGCCCAAAACGTGCTTGGGCCTGACCTTGGCCATAAGTTTGGCAGGCCAGATTTTGTACTGGACCATTTTGAGTCAACTTTGAGAAATACATTGACGTACAACGGTGGTAAAATCGTTGCTATAGGTATAACACAGTTTACCCGCTCCGGGTGTGAGGGAGGGGTGTGGGGCAATGAGTGCACTGACGTGGCGCCCTCGGAGGGCCGGTATGGGATTAAAGCTCAGCTACACTAAGGGCTTGTGTGGTGCCTTCAGTTATCGGTGGCACCCTCAGAATCACCGGCGTAGGGCCCTCAGAGCCGCCGGTAAGGGAGGCACCGGTGTGGGGCCGCCATGCAGGTGCCGGTGTGGGCGATCAG